AGGCAGACCTTCTTCACTGGCTGCTGTTGAATGTGATAGAAAGTTAGTTGGCATTGCCCCCCCCCCGCTTAATATCAATTGCCCGGTGCTGTGAACTATGTGGCTGCTCTGCATCACAGCCCTCCATCACACCCACATTAAACAGGGGCCACCTGTACCCTGCCTTTCTGTGTTGCCCTATGCCTGATGCCTTCACCTCCCACCAGTGTCCTATCAGGGAAATATAGGCATGTTTTGCACCTTGGCTGCTCCAGATGTCACTTGTAAAATATACCACCTGTGCCCTGGCCAACAACTGCTTCACCCATTGCCTGACATCCCAAAGTAAACCTGACACCACCCTGTGGTTAGCCACAACCCTGTGGTTGTTTGGGATAACGATTGGTAATGGGGTGCCAATTCTGCCACAAACCTACGGAGACCAGTGTTCACCACCAGAGAGAATGGCTGGTCATCCAGGGCTATCATCTCTCCTAGGTGGCAAGTGATCCTGGCATTTTTACTTTTGCCAAAGGCTTTTTCCTGCACTGCTCCAAGCTCCCTAGGGTAACCTGAAGCTTATTCTTCAAATATGAGTCTGGCATTGCTGCCTCCTACCTCTTGCTATTTGGCTGTCTTTGGCAGAGGTGATGTCAGTGTCACATGCTTCTGAAACAATGACCCTCTGATTCCACTCAATCTCCTCTCCCATGTTACATGTGCATATACTTTAAAGGCAGTTTCTACAATGCTGCTTTGCAGAGGAGAGATTTGTTGGGAATTGGGGCTGAGGATAAGCCTCTCCATGAATATGATGTAGCTGCATGGTATGGATATATGGGAGGCAATGTACAGTACTCTTCATAAATCACTTTCCCAACCACAAAAGCAGCAGCAACTGCTGCTGCCCAAACTGATAGTGTCAATGTGAGTGCCAATGCCATCCTTCTCCTTCTTTGGTACATCGGCTCTTGGGGAGAGGAGTGCCTTTTTCACCATCTTTTTGACCCCTTGCCCTGGCTGGATTGCACAAAGACATCATTGGAACATGTCTGAGGTTCACTTATACTGTAGCTGTCCCACCCTGAACCAGAGGCTTTTCTGACACGTCCTTGGTAGAAGCACACACGTCTGTACTGTTTTCTCCTGCTCTTTAGTAGGGTCAGTGCTGAACAGAACAGCTGGGTGACATATTTTGTTTGAGGGGCACATAAAAGCAGTTGTTGGCCTTCTTTTTCCTCCTCCCCCTTCTCAGTGAAAGCTGCTACAGTGGGTGCAGGCAGCCTTTCTGCAGCCTTCCTCACGTCTTCTACCATAACCTCATATAGGAGCAAATGGGACTCCAAGTATTAGGAATTATTATTACAAATATTCAGAACTATCCAATTTGGATTCGGATATATTTGGAACTAACTGAATGGGGCATTATTCAGTGAATTCCAAAGACTTCTGAATCTGAGTGCACTTTCCTAGATTTTAGCTGTCTAGAGAATGCAACAAGTGTTTTTAAAGGCTGTGTCTTAGGTGCTTCCAGGCAAGGATTTTTACTGTAAAATCAGCATGCTTTATTCACAGAATGTTATTGAGAGGCAGGTAGACCACCTTTCATTGTTTTCCAGTGTTTTCCCCTGACCTTGAATTTTCAGCTGTTTTGGACTACAAGTCCCAGAATCCTCCACCTTGCATGTTTGTTAGCTTTGCTTGCTGAAAAATTCTGGGAGTTGTGATTAAAAAAACTCCAAGGAATACTTTTTCTATACTTCAGTTTTTCCATGGTTTTTCCACTTTAAAAAAAAAAGAAAGAAAACATGTTTATGATGGTAGGAAAGAACCAGCTTTTTCCCCTTTTACTACTATGAAACAGCCTTGGTTTCATATGACCTTCTATCAGTGTTTTTAAAACTTGGTGAAATGAATAATTGAAGGACTAAGTTAAGGACAAAGAAATTGGAGATCTCTCTTTTTTTAACACCCAAAAATTTCTGCAGTGTCCATCATGTGATTTGATTTGGCTGCAGAGAGCAGGAAAAAAAACTAATTTGAATGAGTTTCAGGCCCCCCTCCTGAGATGAGTGCACTCTTCTCAGCATCTGGCTTTCCAATTGAAAGAACACAAAGTAATCTTTAAAATTGCTGAAAGAAATGTTAAGACAAGAGCTGTATTTAAAGACTATTCAACAAATATAAAGAAGACATTGATTACAAAGCTGCCTGCATGCTTCTCTTGTAGATAAGCTATGGGAGGCTATTAGAACACATTCAGCTCTTACCTATTGTTGAATTCAAATGGTTGTGGCCTCCAGTGTGCGAATCTGTCAGGTTAGGTACAGCTAGTATGACAGTACAGTAATACTATCTTAAACTTTTAGGTGTGGGTGGCTCCCAGACAGGGGGAGGACAGGCATCCATCTAGCAAGCCGGGAGGAGATTCAGAGGAGCCAGTCCAATTGACAGTCCAGCTGCCAGTCTTTGACTTTGGACTGTTATGAAGTACAGCCTCAGTGAGGCTGCTCCTATAAATAACATACGCTTATTGTGACCCTTTTCAGGTGCAGAGTACCCAGAAGTCGTTTACCATTCCCTTCTTCTGGGGGCTTCCTGGGACTGTGCAGTTTGCTCAAAACCAAACAGGCTGGCTCTTCTGGGATTCAGTGGGAACTGAACTCCCAGCTTCTGGCTCTGCAGATACCTAACTCTCAGAGTTGTCCAATCAGCCTAGATGGAATATAGGTTTGCATAAATAAAATGCTAATTTGGTTGTTGTGGGTTTTTCGGGCTCTTTGGCCGTTTTCCTGGAGGTTGTGCTTCCTAACGTTTCACCAATCTCTGTGGTCGGCATCTTCAGAGGATAGCACTCTGTGCTCTGGTGTAGTAATGCTAATTTCATTATGGCCTTTATAATATTTCTCTTTCTTGCAGTAATTCCCAGGCTTTTCGTGGGTACTCCCCTTTACTATCTGGAAACACCACGAGACAGCTTATAATATACTAACCTGTGTATTTATTCAACATTTTTTTCATACTAGGCATGGCCATCTGTAAGGATCCCCACATTTCCAGCTTTCATCTATAAAGCTTCAGAATGTGCACCCACTGTTCTGCCAATTTGTTTTATAAGCTGTTCCTGAAGTGTTTCAGGATATTTTTAGGCCATGAATTGAGTTATAACAATGATTGATATATACTTTTTCTGATGAAGGAAGCTCATAATTAAACTTCTGGCATTCCTGGGTTGGTGGTGATGGCTACCCCGTTTAAAAACAAAAACAGAAATCCAGGAGGTCACTGTAGCTGTGACTTGCACCACTTCAAATAGCACCAGCAAATAAAAGTGTTTGTAAAACCTTTAGATGAAATATTACTTACAATTATTTCTTTTTCCACTGTTGTTAACATTTTAAAATTACCAGAATGATTAATGCAGATAAAATCCATCATTATCATAGTCATATTGCAGGATAAAGGGCAGTCGTTAAGAAACTGTGAGTTATGGCAGTAATATTAATATCATTTTTGCTGTAGGGACCAAGCGTATGTCAGATGATCCAAGACTGTAGTCTGTGTTCTTGTTGAGTTTCTTAGACAGGAACTACATACATGTTTGTAGACAACCTGCAGTAAGGTTTTTACTGTGGGTCATCTGAAAGTTGGAGTGAAATGGCTTGAAATGCACATTATTTTAATGTGTTTTTGTTTCATATAGCTGGATGGCAGAGGCAGCGAAGGAATGTGTTTGCAAATTTGCCACCACTGCTGTACTGCCCGGCTGGCATCCAGCAGCCCACTGAACCAGCCCAGCTGACTGTAGGGGAAGCCCTACTTCGCTATTAATAATATACCTTACATTGGGCACCATTTTAAAGTGCAGCAGAATTAATTTCATGTGAAGCTGCATTCAAACTGTTTTCCCCCCCAGGTGTGTAAGTTGTGGCCATAGAGTACACTTTTTGTAGGCAAGAGCAGGCATAGCACTGAGATATTGGTTATAGCCCTATATTACTAGGTACAGTATTTCCAAGATGGCTTTAATTATTCTAGAACCTGGAGATCCATTTTCTTACAAGCCTTTCAGAGTTGTCAGTGTTAACGGTAAGAACAGTAATGTCAGCAAAGATCAACTATCTTTTCATGTACTATGTTTCTTTGCCACTCCTTCAGTGTAAGTTTTCCTTTTTCTTTTTAATGCCTCTCTATCCTCTTAAACTTTTGTTGGAGTTCATAATGCCTCTTGTGTTCTGCATTAGTGTTGCCAAATTCTGGATTGGGTGGATTGTCCTCATTTTCTGAATATAATTGAGTGTGACACTAAGGACCAAAGGTTCTGTGCATTCATAAGGAAAATGCACATGTTGATTGTAGTGGCAATGTACATGATTTGCTTTGGTGGGCTGGTAAAATTGCTTCTGAATACTCTATCAGTAGAAAAAGGGTCACTGTAAGTCAGAATAGACTTGACACCATGCAAATACCGTATTATTTCCAATATTCAAGTCCCCCCTCAGAAAAACGTCTCTGGATGCCCTTAATTTTACATTAAAATACTGTAGATATAATGGTGGACAAGGGCAAAGCGCTTACCTGTAAAAACATTTGTAAGCATTCTGCTGCTCTTCTCACCATTCTCCAATATGTAATTTTATTTATTTGTAGTATTTTCTGCCCTTTGGGTTGACTTACAAAGACATCAAAAACAACCAAAGCACAATGAATCACAATAGAACAGTTAAAACAGCAATAACATGTTGTATACCTTTTTTTAAAAAAAGATCCCATGCTATTAAAAAGTTTAAGAGCAGAATAAAAATCAGAGAATTTGAAAGTGATTTTGCATTTTCCCTGGAATAATCAAATGTAGTCTGAAAACAGGAAGTGGAGTGGATTATTAGGAATGAAGGTGCTTTCTTTCTCACTTTCATAAATGACAGCCCTTGGTTTTCTAGTTGGTGCTTGGCAAAAATAATAAAATGAAACAAGTGTACGAATGGTTCCTTACTACCCTTTTCTCTTTTTTCCTTCTGCAGGAAAAATTAACCCAGGAGTGTGTGTTCAGAGAACAATTTGAAGAGAACTGGTATAACACATATTCATCGAACCTATATAAGCACGTGGACACTGGAAGACGATATTACGTTGCATTAAATAAAGATGGGACTCCGAGAGAAGGGACTAGGACTAAACGGCATCAGAAATTCACACATTTTTTACCTAGACCAGTGGACCCAGAGAAAGTCCCTGAACTATATAAGGATATTTTAAGCCAAAGTTGACAAAGACGTTTACTTCACTTGAGCCCTTAAAAAAAAAAAAGTAACCACTATAAAAGGTTTCATGCGGTGGGTTCTTAATTGATTAGCTGTGTCATCACATCAGCTCCACTGTTGCCAAACTTTGTCGCATGCATAATATATGATGGAGGCTTGGATGGAACATGCTGATTTTGTTCTGCACTTAAAAGGGTTTGTCTTCCTGGAGGAGAGCCTATGCCCGTCGCTTGATTTATTATGGGAGAAAGGAAGGGGAGAGTGAGGATGTGTGAGAGTGAAACAGAAAGGATGAAAGAGAGGAGATGAAGCAGGAAGGAAGGAAAGGGGGGAGATGGCCAGATGCATGCTGGGAAATAGGCACGCTTTTAAATTTTTTGATCCGTTGTACTTCATTCTATAACAGCATAGCTCCCATACTTTCATCAGGAATATTGGCTGGTGGCCTGCTCAAGTTGTACGCTGCATTTAAAGAAAAAAAAAGGCATGGAGGGTACTTACTTAAACAAACAAACAAAAGGGACTTACTTTCAGTTTGACTGCTCAAGCAGGAGTCGCCCCTTGCTGAGTTTCAAGCAAACACCTCTTAGGTAAAACAAGAAAAGATGGAAAAAAAAAAAGCTAAATTTATTTATAGAAATTCCAAAGGCAACATTTTATTTATTTTATATATTTATTTATTATATAGAGTTTATTTTTAATGAAATATGTACAGGCCATATAGGCAGTTTGGAAGCTTTAGGCTCTGTCAAGCATTTCAGCAGTGAAGGCCGCTATGAACCTGTGATAAAATTCATGCAAGTCAAACGTAAAAAGGTGCATGGAGACAAAGAGAAATCCTGTGACCCCCCCCCAATGTACTAAAGGCAACAATCTCTTTTGTGCCCATATTATTGTAAAAGTATGCACACCACTCATGACACTGAGTGCTCACTCTTCCGACTGCTTGTTTCATAGCTTAAACTTCCCCCTCCCTCCCTGAGGATTAAAGATAAAACTGGGTCTTCAAAACTTTAATTCTGTGTCTGTAATATTTCCTCTTTGATAAGTGACTTATTCCATCTTTGTAAGCTTCACAGTTGTGAAAGAAAAAAAAAGAAGGGTTGGTATATATTTTACTTGTTAAAACCTACTGCAGACAATACCAAAGCTACATGATAAATATGCTCTTTTTATTTAAAGCAAAATGCCAGAAACATCCTAATATTGACATTTTGTACTAATTAAGGTTCTCATAAACTAGTACAAGAGGCCAGGGACAAGGTTCACTCTTGTAAAACTTGTTTAACTGTGCACTTGACTATCTACTCTGAAATTACACAAGTTCCATAGGGGTTATTATTGTAACATCTTTTATGGGGGAAAATGCTTTCAGTGTGAACTGTCATAATACATATTAGCACCCTTCTTAAAGTAAGACTCTTGCAAAATGAAACTAATAAATCTGTATTGAGAATTGCAATGAGGGGGAAAGTACTATACTTGTTTTATTTCCTAGAGCTGTCTTTCAAATGTTCCTGAAATATGCTATGCAGGATCCCCTACATGAAATGTATCATTAGGGTTACATAACATTGTAAGTGCAACCACACCTTTTAGTTAGTAGGTATAATTTGGGATTCTCCCCTAGAAAAAGAGGCGTTGTCATTAACCCTCAGAACAAGAAGTGGAAGTACTGATAGCAGCAGCACCATATGTTGCTTCTATTAAAAAGATACATGTAATTGTGCAATTTGGGCTCAGATCCACATGGGTTTTGTTGTTGCCTGGGTTCTGTTTAGCGAGGACTGTTGTTCATTTCCTTCCATTTAAGCAAACATGCTTTGCACAGGAGAACAGAAATCTGCTTCATACTGATCTTGGTCCATCTAGCACAGTATTGTCAACACCAACTGGTTCAAAGTTGCAGTTTTTCTTGCCCTACCTGGAGATGTCAGATATTGAACCTTTGGCATGAAAAGCATGTGCTCTACCATTGAACTACAAGCTCTCCTCCCTACCGTTCAGTCAATGGTTAAAGTAATGGAAGAGATGTTTCTGATATTGATAAGGTGGCACTCCAAAAGTAACTTGCCATAGAATAGCAAACTGGCACTTGTCGTCTTATGTTCAATTTCTGTTGAAATAAGTGTCAGTTCTGAAACCACATATTGTATCTTGGGCTTCTAGGTGGAAATATTAGCATGAAAACAAGCAAGCTGTTCCAACACTGAAGCGTCATCCTCCCTTACAATAAAATTGGAGCCTTATGCACAACAAGACTTAACTGTTTGGAAACATACCATAGAAAATGAATCCAGTATTTCTTTACTTGATTGTGCAATTGTCTGTTGGAAAGAACTACAGTATGTTCTAAAATAGCAGAATACATAGGATAAGTCCATATGTTGAGTTTTAAGGCAGAACAGCACATTGCATTTCACCTGGGGGGGGCTGCTACTGAAATTGACCACTGTGTCCAGTTCTTGCTCTTTTCGACTCTGATCTTGAGTCACTTCTAACCTTTTTATGATACAATCAAGTTGCCATATCTAGTGGCAGTTCAGTACTGTGGGTCACAACCAAGGAAGTGTGATATGCATAAACATTATGAAAGAGATGGGAGACTCAATGAGAAGGTGGTGTATTCAGTAGGAGTCTTGTATCAAGGAAAATGTGTATTTCTAACTTTATGCTAACCAACTCATGAAATCCAGTGTTTCCAGATATGGTGGGACGCAACTATCCATGATAAATAGTATATGCAGTAACTGACATCTGAAATTATCATACGATTACCATAATGTGTGCACTTGGCCCTGGGTCAGATGGGAACAAGAAACATTTATATCATATAATACAATCAGAACTAAATTTCTCAGATCAAAGTATACTGTAATTTAAGACTTTCTAGGTTTATTATTAAATATGGAACATTAGGGTTAGAATAAATATTTCAAGTTTAAAAAAAAGGATAGCTAAATTAATTCCAAGAAACATCAGATGCCTAACTGAAGAAAATTTATATTGCAATTCTACTCACACACAGAATGTCCTGTTCAACTCAAAAGAGCTTTATTTTGAGTGGATGCATAGAGATTACACAACTATTGAGCAGGACTTTAAAGAACTGTACAGTGGTGCCTCGCAAGACGATTGCTTCACATAACAACGAATTTGCTTTACGATGAGATTTTCAGAGCGATCTTGCACTTCGTTTAAAGATGTTTCCTATGGGCGATTTTTGCTTTACGATGTTAGGGACCTTTTGCTTTACGATGTTTTCGACAGCTTGGTCTTGCTTCACTATACGAGTCTCTAAATGGGCTCTATTTCGTTAGATGGCTGTCTTCGCTTGGGAACCGCGTTTCGCTTAATGATGTTTCCTATGGCAATTTTCGCTTTACGATGACAATCCGTTCCCATTGGAACGGATTATCAGATTTTCAATGCATTTCAATGGGAAAACGTGTTTCGCAAGATGATGTTTTCGCTTAACAGCGATTTTCGTGGAACGAATTAACATCGTCTTGCGAGGCACCACTGTATTTCATTCTATTATACCTGTTCCAATTACTATTTGCTGTTTAATTTTAACCTTGCATCACTTTTGAAATATATTTTGCACAGGGAACACTTCTTAATGTATGTGTGAGACAGGTATGTGTATTGGATATTTTAAGCTTCCAAGCCAAACAAAGCCCACTAGTTAAGACAAGAAGACCCAGATGAAGTTTGAGAATCCCGTTTTTCCCTAGCAGCCTGACTCGGATTGTAAAAGTAGGTAGTTTTCAGAGAGGCAGCTATACTAATCTGTTTCAGCAACAACAGAAAAAACAAAAGTATTGTAGCATCTATAAGATGAACAGCTTTCATGGATTACTGTCCATTTCTTCAGGCAAAACAAAAACAAAAACAAGCCAGGTAGTCTGCTACTTGGCCCTTTCCTGTATATGGTTCTGTTTGGCTTGGTGGACCATAAGTTGCACAGTCTTGCCCTAAGTCTTTTAGCCATTAAATCACTTTGACCAGAATAATTCTGCAAATCACAAGAGGACGGTTTAAACTATAAACTGCTTTGCAACTTTGTCTAATAACTGGAATCTGGAAATGAATATCTTGTCTCTTTATTAAATGAAGAAATGAGTGAAAGGGCATAGAGCATGTTCGGCATCCAATGGTTAATTGCAGAAAAGTGGATTCAAGTAGCAATAAGCATCTGAATTTGCACTAAGCCCACAAAAATCTTAAGGACATGCATTACTAAGGGCAACATTGCCATGAACTGATCAGAATAATAAGATGATACTTTCTAGCCTTAATGTGAAATTTGCTGGTATTTTTGATCATAGAGATATCATTAATATTACTGAACATGTTTTTATTTAAATTTTTTTGTTTTTGGTATTTTTTTAAAGAGAGGACTACAATGAGCAAGAAAATGTTATGACTTTATGGCAGTTGATACAATAAACTGTAATCAATGTATTCAAACAACCCATATTGGTGTGTATATATCTACTGAGTTTTGTAGATATGGCAACTTCATAAATATTGTCTTGGAAGTTGATTGTCCAAGGTAGAGCCTTCCATATTAGTGGCTATCAGAAATGAAACAAAAGTTTGATTGGTCACTTGGAAATACTATATATGTCTTTCTGTAGCTCGCTCTGTTCCAAAGATAAGAAAAGCCACTCTTTTGGACTATAGCTCCCATAGACAGCCTGGTTTCTGGACGTTATAGTCTAAAGAAGTAGAACCTTTGCTATGTAAGGATGAAAATTTAAATCAGCAAATCCTATGTAAGGATGAAAATGGAAATCATTTCCTACGCAAGGATGAAAATGGAAATCAGCCAATCCTCTATGCAGTAATTCTGAGAAAGGATGAAAAAAACTTGAATATTTCCCCTGCACTGTAGCTATGTGGTGAATGATTACATGTAATGGAGGCCACCAGAAATCTACTAGTAGCAAAGAGAGTGAGGTCTTGGAATGTCACTACTTTCGTGAATACACAGATATTTACCTTTACATCCTGCTTGGTCCATTGATGTTCTGACCTTGCTAACATTTTTACTACAGATAGTTATTTATTCCAGTCAAGATCTATTTCTCATAGAAAGAAATGCACCTTCTAGTGCTATTGCACTTGGGCAACTTAGAAGAAAAGTAGACTGCAACAGGTGGGTAACATGGGGAGACTTTTATTGCTGCTACTCCAGTGCTATGGCAAGTAGAAGCCTTCATATATTCAATGCTGACATTTCTCTGCAATCCAAAGAAAAGGCAATCTGAACAAACTGGTATTAAAAACATGAGTACATGTAATTGTAAATATGTGTGGAAATAAGTACTTTGTAGAAATATATTAGTATTGAATGTTGAATGTGGGTATTATTTGCTAGCTGATTGAGCAGCTAACATGTTTTCTCAAACATCTGTGCAGCAGCAAAAATGAAACCCCTAATAGCTCTTGGCAGAATCATAAGGAACCTCCATATAAGAAAATTATTCTTCAAACAAACCATTTCCATTTTGACAATCTCATTACAGGGGAAGTGTTTTCTTTTGCTCACCTCCCAGCTGGCTTGATGACTGCATAAGCAACATAAATGGGTACATGAGACAGCAGGATTCACAGTGACAGTGAAAGAATATATGATCTAGAAATGTTAAAAATAAAACCCCAACCACCACCATTTTGGACTACAGTTTCCAGAATCTCCCAGCCCACATATGGCTAGTGGCTGTGGGAACCCTGGGATTCTTGTACCAGTAGTTCAAAAAGTTATATTTTGAAGTTCTTCGGATTTGAGAACTTCATCCCAAAATCCTTTGCAAAGTGGCAAAAAAAGAGGCTAATTCAGGATCGACTTCATGAGATTTGTCCTTGTGTTATCTGCTGTATTTGAAGAGATGAATCCTAGAACACAGCCTTCATGATCCAGTGCAGAACAGCTGTTTAGGATCCTGATGCTTTCAGCTAGCAATGGTTCTGTAGCAAGCAATCTGTCAGATATTTTTAAACTCTAAATTAATATGAAAATAATAGTCTTCAAATCTATTCCTCCCCCCCCTCCAGTGCTGAAAACAGTGTCAAAGGGCACACTTCTCTTTGTCTCCTGTTCATCCTATCCATAAGGTCAATCTCATGGCCAAATTTATCGATTGTATAGTTACATAGCACTGTATACATGATTTAATGTGAAGTTCCACACAATGCAGACAAAGTTAATTTCTTCCTATTATTACAGTATCAGGTATCCACTTAGCAAAATGATATTTAACGGAAGTATCTCTGAACATGGATTTAACATGATATTTAACTGGAGTATTGTATCTATAGGAGACAAGGAGTTGACTGTATACTTGCATATTCTCATAATGTTCTTCAAACAAATCCCTGTTTCATAAATGTTCCTGTTACACTTTCATCTGCTTAGCTAAGGGGGTGGAGCACTTTTTCATCAGTACGGTATTGTTTTCCTGTGAAGAAGGGTAAATGTTCTGCAATCAAGCCACCTTCTGGTTTTTTCTGATAAGATAAGCAGATTGCATGTCTAATTATTCCCTGTGACTCTTCTTGGGAAAAGCCTGTTTCCCACCCATGAAATTATTTCTCTACAATGGCTCTCTGTGCTGTACATGTGGACACCAGAATTTAACACAATGTTCCAGTGGGCTCCCAATGAAGTAAGAGATCTTCTTGGCACAGAAAGATGCTGCTGTTTACATGCAGAGAAGAACTGGGACAAAGTGATCTTACAAGACATCTTCAAGCAACAACCCCACCACAACATGATTCCTTTAGCAAAACTTCTTGTCTTTGATTTTTCTCTCTCTCCTTTATATTGCTATTCATAGAACCGTTTCACATTTTAAAGAAACTGTATTGAGAATTGCATGTCCAAAGATGTTCATAAACACCTTTTCAGTAAAATGAAAAAGGGGAGACAGGAGTAGGGCATGACGTTCTGATTATGTGACATCAACCCCAGTCCCCAACATGCCCACTAAGAATGCGTGCAGACCCACCCACCCCACAGTATTTCCAACAGTGTGTATCTACATGTTGAATTAAAATGAAGAAAAAAGTGCTACAATCCTGGCATGTTTTACAAGTGGAGTAATGGCTGTTTGCAGCTAACCTGCAGTAACGGCTTCTTCCCTTCTTTATTGAAATGGTATCGTTTCGGTCAGCAAAACATTTACATAAAAGGACAGTGATTATTTTTATTCTAAACTTTGCATAATCTCCAGTGCCATACATAGCAATTTGTATCTGAAAAGTGCTTTGAAAACATCCAACAATGCAAAGTTGAATATATAAAATCTTTTATAAACCGTTACAAACCTTTGTAGATTTTATAAAATAACAAACAATCCCCCAGTTTTTTTCCTTTTTTTAATTTAAAAATTTTAATAAGATGCAATACATAAA